TCTGTCAATCGGGCTTTATTCTCGAAGGACGCAGTCCTTGGCAACTTCCGCTCCTGTTTCGGGGGCATTGTGTCATTGTGGTGCGTGCGACAGTGGATCGACGAGGCTTGGCTTGGATGGGAAACTGGGGAGTGTTCCATGCAGGCTGTGACATCGACGCCTCCTGTCGTCCTCCAGGCTTCTCCAGGCGCCTCCTTCTCCCACAGTGTTCCTGTTTTTCTGATTCTGATTCTGATTCTGATTCCTGTTCTGATTATTGTGATTTGTGACTATTTTGTTGTGGCTGTTCTTTTCCTTCATTTTCGTCCAATCCATTAATTGCCTCGTGTGCGGTGGCAGTCGAGTTTTCCTATCTTGGTAACGCACCAGACTGTCTGTCAGGCCCAGCGTTTGACACGCGCTTCCTCCAATATTAATTCCTCCTGCCTCGAGAATCAAAAACACCGTCTGGGATTATTACCAATCCAGCACATTCTCGACCACTTTCGCTGCAACACCCGCTCTTTTTCCGGCCTGTCCTTGTGTCTGGACCGTATAATTCGTAAAGTCTGGCTGGGTGGAGTCGGACTGGGAATCGCGCAGCAATCCTTCACAGCTCGTCCAGGTCGATTCGATTCGGCTGTCAGCACAGGTACAGTACAGTACGAGATTGACTCGGTTCTCCCTGCGACGGCCCCTGTGGTGGCAGACTGGCAGCGTGTTGGGCCGGCCGTTGCAGCGTCGTGATTTGCGTGCTGTTGCCGCCGGGGGCATTCCAGCCTTCGCGCCCGGGACGAGGGCGGCTAAATTTAGACCTGCGCGCCGATGCCGCTAACAGCGAGCTGCTGCGGGGCCTCGCGATTGGTGTGAAGCACTCTGGCTGACCGGCGCCTTCCCCACCTAGATCGATTCGTTCCCAGAGCGACTGCCCGCCTGCCGCCCGTCTGCGCTCGACGTCCGGCCTGTATCGTCCTTCCTTCCTTCCTTTTCCTTCTGCTCGCTGCTCGCCGCTCGCTCCTTCCTTCTTCTTATCCTTATCGTCCCCTCTCGCCCGCGGGCATTTGCCAAAGACGACCTCGTCGAGTCTCGTCCCTTCCCTCCTCGGCGCCGTCCATTCGTCGGCCGCTCCGCCCCGTCCCTCCTTCCCTCTCCCTTCGCTCCTCGTCACGTTTCAGTTGGTCATTCCCCGGAGGAACGACTGTTCCAGGGCTCATCGTGAGCGCGTGGGCAATCTCAGTCCTGTCTCGCATCGCAGAAACACTGCCCCTGCCGTCCACACACGAGTGCTCCCTGTCGCCGCACATTGTGACATCGCGTGTCCACAATCGGCGTCTTCTCCCTCTTCTTTCTTCGCCTTCCTCGAATTGAGCGAGTCGAGTCCGCCTTGTGAGTGTCTGCTTGTTTGTTTTTGATCTGGGGTATGTTGCTGGGCGACATCCATGGTTTTCTCTCTTCTCTCTTCCCAGATATCTTTCTCCTGCCGTTCGCCGTGCTGGGGTCCATCCAGAGCAATGAAGACTGACGTGCCGTTGAAAAGGTCGTTTGCGCAGGTAGCAACTTCGCCATACTTTCGTCTTCACGCTTCCGGATGCAATAGCTGTACGGCAGTGTTTGCTCGATCGCTCGAAGAGGCAAGCGATCGTGGACGGGCTCTTCCAAGCAAACGTGCAACTGGCGCATTCGAGATGCCCGTCCAAACGAGTCCATCGCCCTTGCCCGCCTCGTTTCCTTCCTTCTCGTCCGTGTTTGGCACCGGAATGGATCACGTCTTGCGCCCGCAGAGGAGAGACGATGGCCCCTCCCCGGCACAGCCCGCAACGACGAGCAGCACCGCCTCCGCTGCGGAGCCTTGCCCCTCCTTTCAACATCGTGAGAGCGTCTCGTCGGCTGCATCCGAGTCGACCGATTCTTCCCCTACCACTACCATTTCCACCTTCGATACCACTTCCGTCCCCGACACCTCTCCGAGTTCCTCTCCGGAATCGCCTTCGTCCATTCCCCTACCATATCCCAAGCCCACGACGCTCCCTGACATCTCGGAGAGGGATTCGATGCCGTCGGATCAGAATGCCCAATCCCAGCAACCGACGTTGGGTTCAGCTCGCCCCGTGTCCCCCGGGAGACGGGCCCGGAATCTCAAAAACCTTTCGCTGAAGGTACCCTCTCAGCCCTCACGACCGGCCATTTCTACCGCCTCGGTGGTGGAAACGAGCTCATGCCACCTCTCCGCCCCTCCTTCTCCAGTGAATCGTCCTATGAAAACTGCTCGACGAAAGCCGGCGAATCTGACGATCCGTACCCCGGGATTCGATTCGTCTTTCTCCAGCAACGCCACCGAGGCCGTGCCCCCAACCCCCGGTACCCGGCGTTCATTACGACACATCGAGTCGTCTCCTTCTCTGGCATCCGTCTTCTCCCCGACCACCGCTCCGCCGGGAGGCATGCAAATGCCGCGGCCGGCAACGCGAGATGGTGCGCCGACGATGCCGGGTAGCTGGCAAGATGATTTCTCGCCTAGGCCCCCATCGCGGGAGGCCCTCCAGAAGGTGGAGGAAGAAGACTACAACCTGGATTCCCGAGAGTCGGCCAAGGGGAATGAACGCGGCTATCCCGATGGGCCGATTCAGATCTATGAGTCAGGCGTTTATCTGTATTTGGAACCGACCCAGGAAGAAGCCTCTCGATTCGATGTGGTGGTCAATGTTGCCAAGGAAGTGGTGAATCCCTTTACCGCCGATTTGGCGAAGAACAATAATTCCGTCGTTTCCACGCTCCGGGATCCTTGTGAATTCGCCAAACGGCATTCAATTGCGGAACCGCTGACAGCCATCTCAGAGGCGTCTTTTCACTCGGCTTTGGAGGTTCTTTCCCCCGAGTCGGAGAGCCCAACCACCCCCAAAGCGAAAAAGCGGGCGACACCGGAGTATATCCACGTACCTTGGGACCACAACTCGGAAATTCTCGATGATCTCTATCCTTTGTGCGAGCTGATCGACGACCGAGTGTCGCAGGGTAAGACCGTTTTGGTTCATTGTCAGTTGGGAGCTAGCCGGTCCGCCTCCCTCGTGATCGCCTACGGATTGTACAAAAACCGCATCTTGACTTTAATGCCATGTATGGCATTGTCAAAGACAAGAGTCGCTGGGTGGGGCCGAATATGAGTCTCATCTATCAATTGACGGATTTCCGTGCGCGACTGCTCCGTGGAGGACCGTCCAAGCCTGCGCCGGCGGAATGGTTCAAAATAGGGCCGAATTGCCGTCCTTCCGAGGCATCAGCCATATCGAATCCACCTGCGGCCGATCGGGTCGAGGAGCCGAAACGAGACGACCGGGAGAGCCAGACTCTGGTCCCAGGCCCATTGCTTCATTCCTCCACCGAACGTCCGGCAACGACTGCTCCTTCAACAACTGCCACTGCGTCCACGCATTTGCCAAAGTCCGAGGCTCCAGCACCGCGGAGTATATTCCCACGCCCACTTCCGCTTCGGGAAAAATATCAGACGATCGAGCCCTCGCAGGGTCCGTCCGAAAACCAACAGTCGGGGACCCGGCGAACCGCCCACATCCGCTATCCATCGGTTCGTATGGACCTGGTCATGAAAGACGTTCCCACTTCGCCGTCCCTATTATCCCCGAGAGCGGCCAGTTTTATGAGCACGACGCTGTCCCGGACGCTAGCTGGAGACCTGGCCGGGGATGGACCACCTTCCTTGGTCGGGCTGGGAGAGCCGTTCCCAGATCCGCGGTCGCCGCCTCAGCGAAACGAGCCTCTTATCATGAGAAACATTGATGAATTCCTATGATGTCGATTCTTCGGACAGCCGGCCCTTGTGCGGGGTTGTGGCGTGAGCGATGAGACGACCTTTTTCTTCCTCCAAAAAAGGGCTTTCTTTTCCCTCTTTCACCCCCCCCCCCTCTTTTTTTTGATATTTCCTCCTTTTTGCCTTTTTTCAAGGTTCTTTTCGACTCCTAATTATAAGTACTGCGTCATACCAAAGCAGTCTTATTTATTAAGAGTTTCACGACCAAAGCGGGCTTTGTGGTCTGATTTTATACCATGCTTTCTGTCGGACATTTCATTTCACAGGTTTCGTCCTTGTGATTTTTGTCCGCCGATTGCTTCTTTTTCCCTTTCGTTATATTGGATCAGAGAGCTTTTTTTCCTTTTCAATTCTCTCTTGTTCCATGGTGAGCGACCGGCTAGCATTTTCTTTTGTGGCGCGCATGACTTGGGATTTCTGATCGACAGGCGTTTTGGGAGTTCAAAAATTCGACGTGGCATCATTCGTGCCCGATACCTGTAATTTTAGTGTGCTGACTACTGCCTATTACCTTCGTTTGACCGGTTTGTTTCTTTTCTTCGGTTGACATGTTTGCTGGTGTCTTTTCTTGCTTTTTTTTCCTGATTACTTTTTTTTTACCCATGTTGGATTGACGCATTGATGAGCATGAAAGCTTAGAGCTTGGGTGCGGAATCATGAGATAGGATACCCGCAAGTTATTGCAATACAAGCTTCGAATACGTTGAAGATTCTAACTGACAGCTATGTAGAGATAGTACCTAGGATGTGAGTAGAGTGTGTAGAAGGCGGGCAAGAATGATGACTCTTTAGATTGTATGACTGTATGTCTGTACGGAGTATGCACCTGAAGTCCGGAACTGACTAGTGCAGCGCCCTTAACGTCATCCTACAGCCAGCGCGCGGGCACACTCAACTCTGCGGGCAGCTTTTCCGCCCCGCAGGCGGCACCATCAAAAAAAGTCATCACCCTTCAACGGTAACGGACCACAGTTCATCTGCCAGTCAGTTAATCAGTTAATCAGTTAATCAATAATAACTTATAAGAATGGCTTCGACAAACGATGGCGACGGCAATGGCGACAACTCTCATCCCCCGTATCTTCCGCCTAGTGAGTTGGGGACGAAGGAGTAGTAAGTATCGTAACCTACCTGTCTGTCTGTTTGTCTGTTTGATGGATTATTCTTTTGTTTTTCTTTTCTCTCTGTATTAAATTTGCAAGGTGTGGCTCTTTTTTGAACGAATGAATTTTTTTTTATCTTCAGAACAAGACACAATGATATAATGCTGCTACGCTGCGCTCCGCAAATGAAGAAAGAACCCTTGCTAACTGACTGGCCTTTGTTTCGATTGATGATCGACCACCAGCTGGGAGACATTCTATAAGCGATCGCTAGAGTACATTGCCTCGAAACGGAATCAGTCAACGACAACGACGACGACGCAACCTGCGGACGATGGCGATGGCGATAATAACATGGACGTGGACGCGGACGGGGACATGGATGTCGACGTCGACGACGACGACGACCCCGGTACGTCCTGGTTTGCAGAGCACAAAGCGCCCGAGAAGGTATTGCGGTTCCTCACGTCGAAAAAGTTTCCTCTCTCGCCGCGGAACACGATCCCGAGTACGCGGCGACGACGGCCGCAACAGCAGCAGCGGCAGCATCGTGAGCCTAGCATCCTCGACCTGGGCACCGGGAATGGCAGCATGCTTGCCCTGCTCCGCAAGAAAGGCGGGTTCAAGGGTCCCATGGTCGGGGTCGATTACTCGCCGCAGAGCGTGCAGCTGGCGCGGGAGCTGCAGCGATTGAAGCTGCATTCGGCGTATGAGTCGGGATTGGAATCTGAGGAGGAAGAGGAGGAAGAAGACTACGAGGATTTGGATGCCATCGGCGGTGCATCCCACCCCAGCAGTGACAACCACACCCCCGACCCAGATGACGAAGAGCACGAGGAGCTCGTGGCCGCAGACGACGTCGGCTCGGCTCAGGCCGTCCGCGTCTCGGACGAAATCCGCTTCGAGGAGTGGGATATCCTTGCGCCGGGGAACGAGGAAGCTCTGACAACAGCGTCGTCGGGCGCAAACAGAATCGACTGGTTCCCCTACAAAACAGGCGGTTTCGACATCGTCCTCGACAAGGGCACCTTTGACGCCGTCTCCTTGTCGGCAGACGTCATCGACGACGACGAGGATGACGACAAGGAAAAAGAAAAGAAAGGCGACAAACGCGTCCAGCGGCGCGTCTGCGAACGCTACCCGCGCATCGCGACAAAACTGGTCCGCAAGGGCGGCTTCCTGGTCGTCACGAGCTGCAACTGGACGGAGGACGAGCTGATTCGGTGGTTTACGGCGAGGAACGATCAAGATGAAAAGGATGGGCTCGACGTCTGGGATCGCATCGAGTATCCGCGGTTCCGGTTCGGGGGGCAGGAAGGTCAGGGGGTTTGTACGGTTTGTTTTAGGAGGAGGGAGTAGTTGGTATTATTATTTACAGTACAGCTTATTTATATAGATAGATGTGGATATAGATGTAGTTATGGAATGATTAATGGTGTTGGGTGGGTGTCCATGTAGATGGGAGGTTAGTTTCCTATCTTAGAAATAGAAAGAAAGAAGATTGGTTTATATGTGATTATCGTCATCGAACCAGAGTCTTTTATATATATATATATACTGGTATCTATCTAGATCTAGGCATGGCAATTATATACTTATGTATTTACACGAGATGAAATGCAATGCAGGAAGAACAGAACTAGACCGTCATGATGCTGCTGACGCTGACGACGCCCTCTTCAACACGGCAATCACACACCATCGCTTCCGATTCTCGGGCCCCTCGCCTTCCCTGACGGGCACCCACGCCCGTCGCACCTCGCCGTTTTCCCCTGCCCTTTCGTCTGCCTCGCTCGCGTTCAGGTCGCGCTCGTAGATGTCTTCGATCTCCAGACCCATTCGCTGGGCTGTCTCGAAGAACGACGCGACGATCGCCCGGCCGGTGTGGAAGCCGGCGACGATCCAGACTTTGCCCTCTGCATCAGTGGGCCCTTGCTCTTGGTTTTGCTCTTGGCCATTTGCTGCCGCTGCGGGAGGCGTCAAGAACCACAGTATCGTCTTGACCAGGTTCTCGTGCTGCCCCTTGATCCACAGACAATCCGCTGCGATGATGCGCGAGAACCGGCCGCGGTTCTCCTGCGCGAACGAGTCCGTCAACACGCCCCATTCGTGCGGGTGTGCCGAGATGCGGTCGCGCAGTGGAGGGTGTACGTTGGCCGCGATGTTGAAGTCGATGGCGCCGGTAAAGGCGGGCGAGGAGGGGTGGTCTGTGATGGCGACGTAAGAGGCGGAGGAGAGGACGGAGATGATGGAGGGGAGAGCGGCGCCTGAACGTCACATGTTAGTACGTATGTGAAGTCGTGTACACATTCTAGACAGCGGCATAGATAGAGGTATACTGACCAGCACCGAGCTCCAACACTCTATGACCCTTGACACTCCACATCATCTTTCCCGGCTTCACGGTCTCCCCTGCCTCTGCAGCAGCAGCATCCTCCACTCCCTCCGCGACCACCATCGCCGCGCTCCATAGGAAATGCGCAAACAGCTTTCTCCCCTCCTCGACCTGGTTGACGGCTCCAGCATCACTGCCCTCCTCCCGCCACCCCGCCGCGATCTCCTCCGTCCGCTTCTCGCTCTGGCCCGGGTAGCTGGGCACCATGATCTGCAAGGGCCCGTAACGCGGCGAGTCGTACAGCAGGCGCTGTCCCGGGTCGCCGTGGAAAGAGGGCGCATCGTCAGGGAGGAGGTGGGGCAGGAAGGAAGCGAAGAGGTCTTCTGGGTCTTCGTCGTCGTTGTCATCATAATCGCCTATGCCGCGGAAGTCAGGTGGAGGTACAGAGCTGTCGTTTGATGAGGTGTGATCTGAAGCTGTGGGTTGACATTGCGTCGGAGAGGGATGTGCTTTGCGGGGGAGGGGTCGTAGTCGGGAGTGTAGCATCTCTCTCTCTGGCGGAGTTGTGTTTGGAGCTGGACCGGTTGAAAGGGATGGCCAGAGAAATTGAAAGACGAAGTAAATTCAATCCAAACAGAGGGAGAGAAAGAGAAAAAGAAGTGTTATTGGATTGAAGTGAACAGTAATTGAATTCAATGCATCTCTGATAACGATTTTGCGGTGCGGTTTGCACTGTTTGTCCGGATGTGCTTATCAGATAAGATTGCGGCCTGCATCATGATGATGACGACTGACCGACTGATTGATTGACTGACGAGGCGTTGAAAGCAACCCGTGTTGGTAAACCTATTGATATTAACACAGCCTTGGTATGATCTAAATGTATTCTGCTTCGTAAGTTTTTGATGCCAGAATCGAGGTCGGCGTCAATCTGTCCGCATTTCGTGGTTATGCTCTGTAGTGTATATCCTTACAACAGAAATCCTTATCCGGGACGTATAGGGACAGAATATGCCTAAGGATTCCAGCTGACCGTGCGCACCTGCCTTGCTTCCTGCAGCAGCCTGCTCTCGCAGCCAGATTGCTGCCAGAATAGGGACATTACTCCGTCAGCAGCAGCCAGCATCACGTGACCTCCATGTGACCTGGCCTGATCACATGGCTCAGCCTATAGGGCCTATCAATTGGCAGAGACAGCAATAGTCCCATGGCCGGGCCTGCTGTGAGTGGTGGTGGCACTGCTCTGGCAGCTGGCTGTCTCCGCTCCGGTCCCATTCCCTGTCTGCCTGCCCGCCAGCTCCAGTCCAGAGCCAGCCCAGAACTCTACCCAACCCCCTCCTCCCTTTTCCTTTCTCTCCTTTTTAGCCGTAAAAGAAAACGTCTCTCTGGTCTCTCTGCTCTTTGGCCGACCGCACCCAAGCTGTGCCTCGCCTGGACTCGATCTGTTCAGTCGGCCGTGGATAGACTCCCGTATCCTCCCGTTTCTTTTCCCCGTCCACCCTCCTCTCTCTCTCTCTCTCCAGCTCTCTTTCTTTATCAACTCACGTACGCCCGAACTGGACGACCGATCTGCGTCTCAAGTTTCAACCCAGCTGAAAAGAAGCAGAAGTCTACCTGCACTGCAGACACGGTTTCCTTTGGCTTCATCCAAAGCGTCATCATTAGGACTACGGATCTTCCGGAGTGGGGCGAGATAACGGGAGTGACGACAGACGTTGAAAAGCAGGCTGATCGATAGGAATCATCTCACGGGTCCAAGGAAAGCAAGACAAAACAAAAAGGGAGCGAGACACAGAGAGGTACTGTACTGCGATACTGTACAAGACAAGAAGAGTGCAAAAAGAGGACCGGACGTCATGGGTCTGGCTTACAACGTCTATCTCACCTCCAACAAGATCTTTGGCTGCAAGCAATGCAAGACCCATCTTGCAGACTACAACGACATCATCAGCCGGGTAAGCTGGACCTTTTTCTATCTATCCATCTATCTGCCTGCCCGATTGAACGTTCTTCTCCCATGATATCCGGTCGTCAAGACTTGGCGGAGCTGATTGCGTTTGGGTGTTCGTTAGAATTTCCGAGGACAACATGGAAAGGCCTACCTCTTCAACAACGTAGTCAACATCACCATCTCTGAGCCGGTCGAGCGCAGTATGACCACGGGCCGGCATATCGTCCGGGACATCTCATGCCGGCAGTGCAAGGAGATAGTCGGGTGGAAATACGACAAGGCGTACGAGAGCAGCGAGAAGTACAAGGAAGGCAAATTCATTCTCGAAGAGGAGTTGCTGTGCGTGGTCTAGAGTGAAGATAAAACAATCATCGTCATGACCTCGGAAGGACAAAACAAGATGGCCCATCATCACCCCGTTTCAACAGTGGTCTCGCAGGGCGAGTCGAATCCGGGCAGATTGTCGACCATCACATCTGACTCGAGAAGACTGTCTTATTGCTGAGCCATAACATCACTTATCAGGTTGGATTGTTCTTTTTTCTTTTTTTTTTTTAATTTTCACAGGGCAACAACGGCGTTGGGTTGGAGCAGGTTTTATTGGCATGGTTGATTGGTTCTTTCCATACAAGAGAGACAGACACAGAACAAGAAGACAGAGAGAGAGACACAAATAAATGAATGCAATTGTCTTCTTCTAGTTACAACTGAACAGAAATGTAATCCAGGATATAGTAATGTTACTGCTGGTAAGCCTGCAGCTAAGGATTGAATTCTAGCCTGATCAGTGTGGCAGGCTGAACTGCAAATGATTATTATTATCATCATTCTTATTAGCCAGTAGGGTCAGCTAGCTAGGTAGCTTAAGCATGCCAGCTGGGGAATATCGTGTGTACTGTACATGTACCTAAAGCTATGTCTACTTACCAGGTACCTAAGGTACGAAATTTAGTACATACTGTCTACTCTCAGCACAGTACTATACTACTACTAGAAATCTATCCGTTTCATTTCATTTTATTTCATTCCATTCCATTCCATTCTCTGCAGGTTTCGGATCCGATTCCATATTATTCCTAGGTAATAGGTAGGTACCTTAGGTACTAAGCTGGTAGGTACTTCGTATTCTTTTATTTAGTAAACGGGCAATGACGTAAGAACGGGGCGCGGCACAGCCATGGATGTTACGAATGACAAGAGTGGACTCTGTTACTGTTGACTTGACTGTGACTGTGACTGGATGTACTGTACAGTACTAGGTGTACATATTGTACAGAGTACCGAGGTACCTTGGGTTAGGTTAGGTACTGACCTAATAATGGATAATGGATTCCGTACTCGATAGGCTAGGTTACTGGCAGGTTACATTTATTATTCAGTTTTTTTTATCTAGTTCATTACTCTACTTCCAAAAAAAATTTTTTTCTTTAAAAAAAATTAGCATTCTTGCATCACCTCGTGAAAGTGAAACAAGGACCCAATTAATGACACGGTACTCCGTACACGGTCAGAAGACTTCGACGGGGACCAGATCAGGTGACTATTACTGTCTGGGTGGGCAGGTGATGTGATCAGGTGTGTGTGTGGATGTGGATGCGAATGACGTCGTGAGTCATCACGTCACTGCTTCCAATAATCCTCCAGTGTACTGTACATACATAGCAAGGGATATTGTAGAACAAACGAGAAGTTTACATGTACTGTACGGAGTACTCCGTACATACCTATTAGTTAATAATGCCATGTCTGAATGATCCGTCCTGCTGATCTTGCCGCAGTGGAGAATCCTGTAGGTCGATTCCGTCGACAGGATGACGGAATTGATCGCCTGCGCGACATTTTTTCTTGCGACAGGATGGATCCAGACCAGTAGATATTATTAGATGGAGTAAGTATGTAGGAGTACGGAGTACCACTGACGTGAATCATGTACTTGGTTTGTTTGTGTTGAGCGGGTGATCGTCAGGGACGTGGTTGAAGCTTCTAATCTATTCTCGAATCCTCGAACAGATACCTGAATCAACCAACAATTTCCTCGGGGGCCGGACGAAAGCGGAGGTTGCTTTGCTTTGCGTACTCCGTACAGGAATGACAGCATTGCCAGCCTTGCGGCGGGACTGCGGCGAGTGCGGCCCCTATTTTAGTACCAAGTCGTAAAGAATTTAGTAACCTTGCGGAGGGCGACGGGAATTGTTAATAATGCAGCCCTTGCTGACTGCAGCACAGCGTGTCTACCGCTGCAGGGGCGCAGAACGTGTCCGCCCGTGGGCTGCTCACGATGGACGGTTCCTGACCCGGCAGGATCAGGTAGCACCGACAGCTCGTAAGGTGGCACTGGTCAGTGGTCTTGCTGCCAGCCTGGCCAGTGGCCACAGAGTCGACTCAGTCGAGAACTTGGGGCGGTGGAGCACGCATCGTCAGCGATCCACCCGCGTTGTTTTGCTCGCCAGTGGCAGCACGCCATCCCCTTGGGCAATGCCCTCAGACCTGGGGAGCCAGCCAGCCAACGGAGCGCGGCAATGTGGTTATCGCTGGCCGCACTTATCGCCAGCGAGGGCTCCACCGGGGTCATCTGCGACCTTCTTTATGATGCTGCTTCCGGGCTAAACTTATCGCCCGCCTGCCAAATGCGGCCGTGCTGGCAGCCTGGTCCCTGGCGCCTGCCGTCCTGTGCCTCTTCCCCTTCGTGCCTTCCTTCCTTTCTCCTGCCTGCCCGTCTTAGGAACGTCGCTTCCCAAACGTGTCTCAGTCTGCGCACCCACAGAAAAAAAAAAAGAAGGCGCCGTCCAGAGCTTTCCATCGTCCTCACCTGCCTTCTGCTTCTTTCACTGCCATTGCTCCTCCCCGTCTGGACATTCCGGAGCACAGCAGGGCGAGGGATATTATTTCCGGCGCCCCGTCGCAGCCGACACCCCCGCACCTCTCCTCTTTGGTCGCAAGCGCCGCGCTGAGATAGCTAATTAGGCCCAACTTAACACTTCTTCCACAATCCCCGCAAAACCTCGCCGTCCGTCAGTCGATCTATTGGAATCACTGAGGCCACGCGCCGCCCGCCTAGTGGCCTGGGAGCTCGAGCTCCTGCATCTCTCCCTCCCCGATCGCCCACAACTCCTCACCTCTGCTTATCGTTTCTTCCTTTCTAATTTTCCTCCTTCCTTCCTCCTCCTCTTCCCAATTTGACGCATTTCCCACGCTCCCGCCACATTGCCCCAATTGCTTCGTTTCCTACACACACGGATCTGGTCTGGTCAGTCTTGTTCCTGACGCCTCTTTTTCCGTCCTACCCTCAGCCGCGTCTTGGGTAGTGACGGTCGAAACAGCCGGCTTGAAATCATGGCATCCTTCAAGGTGAGCTCCCAATTCCTCCTTTCCCCGCCTGGCCTGTTGCTGAGCCCGGCCTCTGGTCTACAGGAATCCTCTGTATCACGGCCATTCGCCCAGACGGGCGCCCCTGTCCGACAGACCAACTCTCGACAGCAAACCCATTCCCATCTCCCCTGGGTGCAGTCAATGCGAACCACCGTGTGTCCCGCCGGAAGAGTGTGACCTCCTCCGCAGCGGCCAATGCCGCCGCCGCTGTGGCAGCGTCCCTCAAGGAGCATGGGGAACCGGCGGGCATTCCCGTCGCTGCCTCTCACCGTCGAGGTGCCAACGCTCGCAAAGGGTTGGAGTCGAGCTCCATGGGAACAGCTTCTGGGTCTGGGTTCAGTTCCTACCTGTCCCGCAGCGTCAACGAGAGTACGGCTGGGCGCAAGCACTCGCCCAGTTCAATCGATGAGAACACTGCTGTCGATGGTGGCGGCCCCGTCGGACGGCCCGTGAGCACCAAAAACCGGAATCGACGGGCCAGCGAGGGCTCGCACTTGGTTCGCGGAGAAGGGAAGCGATTCTCGACGGAACTGCGTTGTGAGCAATGTGGGAAGGGGTATAAGCATAGCAGCTGCTTGACCAAGCATATGTGCGTATACCCCTGGCGCCCAATGTGCTGCCTGTCATTGGCTTTCCCCCTCCGTTCGAATCTGGATGTTTTTGTGTGAGCTGGTATGATTGACATTTTTTTTGCCTTCTCTTCTTTTCCATGGTTAGGTGGGAACATGATCCTGCATGGGCTTTCACGTCGAAACTTCTTATCTCGAAACACCAGCAAGTCCAGTTGCTCGAGGCGGCCAGCGTTCTGGTCAATATGAACCAGGAGGCTATCAATGCTGCCTCCGAGGCCCGCGATACCGAATCGGACAACTCTTCCGCCTCCCCCGCGGCGTCGTCGGAACTTCGAGATGGTGCCAGCTCGACAGAGACTACGCCGCCCCCGATGGACGACGAGATGGCCGATTCAGACGACAAGAGATACAGTGTCAACAGCTCGTCAGCCTTCTCGCGCTCCTTCCAATCCGTCCCGTCGAGTTCCTACACCGGCAGCGCCCCTCTGCATTCGCCTGCTTTCTCTCACTTCCGGCAGTCTAGTGTTGACACCCGGCCCTCGACGGCAGGGACGGGCACTGTTGGTGCGCTGGACGACCAGGAGGAGGCAGATCTTGCTGCCGCCGTCCGTCTCTGTAATTTCGGGACACCCCGTTCGAAGCCGGTGGCCACGTCGTCGGATGTACCACCAGTACCCCCATTGCCGGCCCAGTATGTTGGCCAGAATGGGGCCAGTGTTAGCGGCAGCATGGGGCTAGCGGGCTCAGCCTCCACCATTTTCAACTCTCTTTCCCTGGACCCGTCCTTGTCGTATAAGGTCTCGGACGAGCGAGACGTGAAGATGGGTGACGCAGATCGCGAGTCGAGACACCGTCGCAACAACGACGTCGACTTTGGCAGCCGCCAAACTCACGTCGATGATGACGACGACGGTGTCTTTGGTCGGATGGAGGAGTGATGGAGTTCACCTCTCTCTCGTTCCACCTGCCTCTTCTCGCTGGGGTTTCCTAGCGGACAGCTCCGCCTGGATCCCTCGATCGGTCACGCCCTTCTACGACAAATGTACGAATCTGAGCGGATTTTTGGTTATATCGCAATGTTTGGCAGTTGTTTTGCATCATCATCATCATCACTGGGGCCGACGCATATTGGTTCTGATCTCGCCCCGTCCATTGGTTATGGCTTTAGCGTGTATGGTTTGGATGTCTGTCTGATCGGATCTGCGTGATACCAGTATCCGAACGGTGTACCATTGAAAGCGCTATACCTGCTCAATTTCGTCTTTGATGCCCTATCTGTATATCAGAACTACTTCAATGACATGATCATACCTGGTAACTCTTCGTAGATTTGTAGATGTAGACTACAGCCCTGAACCCACATCCGACGTCAAGCGTAACATACCCCAAAGTAACTATTCCCACATTCCCAAGGAGAGGCATAATATCTGCCTGACCTAGTCGCAGTACAGTGCAACGCAATACAATAAAAACAATGCAGTTGTTTTTTGTAGGAGATTTGAAACTCGGACCCCATCTGTCGGATGTCCTGTATGGAATCGGCCCCCTTCTTCTCATTCTCATCTCCCTCTCCTCCAGCTAATAGTGTTAATGTTAATACGCGGTACGCGGTACGTAAGGCACCTAGGTGGCATTGCCGAGAGACGGCATTTATTCTTGTCTTGTTGCTTTTTCGCTTGGGGCATGATTATTGCATAAAAATAGCATAAATATAAGTTTTAACCCTAACTAAGGTGATTTTTTTTACGCCCCCATAAATAATCTCTTACTCCGTAGTCTCTTAGTATCAATAACAATAATGACAATGACAAAAATAGTAGCATCGTAGCATCATAGCGTTCGATAAAAATAAGCACTCCGTCTTCGTCTTCGTCTTTTTTTTTTGCATGCTTTCTACATTTTGAGTAATAAATACTCCGTACTCCGTACTGCGTGCATAATATATTTAATTTATTATTGCTACTGTACTACTGATAGTGATAGTGACGGTCAGTCAGGGATGGATGGATGGAGAAAGTTCGAGTTAACTTAACTACTGTATAGTTGGGCTCTTTTTTTTTAACCCTTTCTTTTAGGCTTCCATGTATAGTAATATTAGTACAGGTCTGGATCTTTTTTTTTTCATGACTTCTCTGATTTTCCTGATCTCGATAAAATGCTTCTGCTTTCTTGCGAGCAGGCAATCAATCGCCCCCGATATTACAGAAAATAAGATAGGACAAGAATACAATAAAGAGAACATGACCATCAGCAAGCAGCGTGAGTGAGTGAGTGAGTGAGATCAGGTCTTGAGAGATATCTATCGTACATCGTACATCGTCATCGCCATCGTACATACATCATAAGTCGTGGTATCATCCATCATATCCATCGTACAGTACATAAGAAGAAGAGTGAGTAATACATGAAGATTTCCGATCTCGACCTCAGATCCATGTTCATTCAGATCGTCCATCCATCCATTGGATGCATTGCATTGCATCTTATCGACAAATCGACAACTCCCAGTGAGACCGTAGTCTTGTTTTTTTTCCCTTTTCGCCTTTCCTTTTTTTTTTTCGGCGGTTGTGTTTTTTTTTGCCCTCCCTTCTTATTTTTGGGGGATTTGTTTTGTGTGTGCGTGTGTTTTTCTCTCGTAGAGAGGAATACATGACATGAATGAAGATCAAGGTACAAAGTCCATGGTACATGGTACCTGGTACACGAAGATGTGAGACAATACATGAAGGTAGAATTCAATGTGGAATTCAATTCCTTTCAAAGCGGTTCCATTCCATGATGGTCGTAAATGCTCCTCCAAACAATTCCAGTACAGGACAATACAAGATGGACAGGAACAGGAACAGGAGTTTAGTGTACAAGCCCAGATCGTTTCTTTTTCTTTCTTTCCTTTCTTTTGCTTTTGCTTTTTCGTTTCGTTTTGTTTTGTTTTTTCCTCGCGAGAAATTGTTTTGGTGTATGTTGAGAACAAGCTATCGGATCTTGACAGTCGAGGCAGACGGTGTTTTTGATGCAGAGGATGTGATCCCGCTGAAAGCTTGTTTTGCGTCGTGTCCGGTTCAGTGTTTTGAGAGAGTCGGATCGCGAGAAGATGTGGTATGGAAGAATGCAAAGGCGCGATCCTGTCATCGTCGTCCTCGCCGAATTTTGTTATTGTTTGTGAGGTTGAATGTCTCGAGTGAGTCTGATCACGAGGACGTGACGTGATGTGGAAGAATGTAGGACGCGATCCCGTCGTCGCTGTCCTCGGAGTCGTTTTGAATTGTTTTTTGTCGTGTCCGATTGAGGATGCAAGGTGTCTGGTATCAAGAGATCGGAATACGAGGAGCTGATGTGACGATGGAAGAATTCAGAGGATATGATTCCATCCGTATGTTCGTCGAAATTTGTTTGTCTTGTACTGTCGAAACAGGTCTTTAAGTGGAGATGATGAAGTGAAGATGCAGAGGATACGACCCCGTCATCGTCCTCGCATGAAAGTTTCTTTCGTGTCGCTCGATTGAATGTGTTTCTGATACCAGAGTCGGATGACGAGGAGTGGTGGAAGAATGAGTGGAGATTGAAGAGAGACGATCCCGCTATCGTTCTCGCAGAAGGATTTGTTCGTATTGTGTCCGATTGCATGGGCTTTTGATAGTCGGATCACAAAGTGGAGATGAAAAAAATAGGTGGAAGATTGAGAGAGTCCAGAAGATGGGCATGCCAGCGAGAACGAATGGCTCTTCCGAAGAGTGATATAGCTCATGACTTTCGGTGCAGAGGCGAAGCATGTCGAGTTTTCTGTTAAGCTTGTCGAGTCCCAGCATTAAGCATGTCGAATCCATCTGTGTCTTGAACTGGAGACAGACGACGGGACGATAAGGGCAATGTTAAGCTTGTCGAGTCCATCTTGTATCTTGAACGGGAGATGGACGGCAGGACGAGGCTCGAGTCCATCAGGCTGTGTCCTAAACGGGAGACGGGAGGCGCACAGCGACGGCAGGACAAGCACAGAGGCAAAGCATGTCGAATCTATCAGACTGTGTCCTAACAAACCTCCTAGAGGCCACCGGCTGCTGGAGTGGATAGTACCAAACCTCGACATATAGCCATAGGCATAGAAGGAATGCGATTGACCGTGGAGTGGACAGTACCGAACCTCGACAGGGGTGGCGGCAGGAGCACAGCGGCGACAAGAGACGACATGCTTGCCGATCGATCGAAACGAAGGGATGAGAGATCGTTGGTGCTGCGTTTCATCGGACCTTCGAACCGGTATCGATGACTTGACGGGCGCAGATCGGACGGGACAACGGATCTGTGCGGCCAGGAAGCGGACAATGGTTAGTTACTGGTTCATCTGACGAAGAGAAGGAAAAGAAAAAGAAGATACTGACCTCTCATACCTCGTTTTCGCGCCACCACAGAGAGAAATGTCACTCACTCCCGACTCCACCAACAGCCGGCGCTCGACCAAACCGCATCGCTCCATCCTCGTATCCTTATGATGTCCGGACAGTGCAATCACCCACTTCACTCCAGCCGATGTGATGCAAGAGAGAGCCCTTCTAGTCCACGACCTGCCCACCAACGATTCAGCCAAAGAACGAGACACCGCAGGCGAAACAAGTCTTGAGGGACGGCCCGAAGTCCTACCCAGTCAAAGACATGGGTGCTCGACTGTCAATGCCACGCCAGAGGAAGAGCCGGGGGGAACAAGCACATGAAATAGGAGAACAAACCCCAGACCCCAGTCGAACTGTCATTCCATGGAGAGAACGTACTTACCGTAGGATCATAGGGACCAGTGACGGGATACACACACGGCCAGTCTCGCTGGATAACCGACGTCGAAATGCGCTCAGGAAGCGGGAGCCGGGCGAGGACGCGTGCCTCCCATTTCCTCACCGCAGGAACGGACTGCCATTTTGGCTCCAGGTTGTTTGGTAGTCGTAAGGCTCCGACGCTGGGCAGCAGGGGAAACCTGTTGGGTCAGCCAGAGACTCATGCTACGCAGAGCTCTGCTTCAGGGCCTCCTGCTGTTCTGCCAGTGCCCTCTTCGCCTTGCGCCTCCGCGCAGCCTGGCTGGGACGATTCCGTCTGCGACGAGGGGCATTCTCCTCGTCCGGCGGGGTCTCCGGTGCGGCCACCTGCTGCTCTACCGGGACAGGGATCGCCATGGCAGCGATATGTCCCTCCCAACTCGTGAGCAAAGCCCAGAGGAGTCGGAGCACAACGTCGTGTGCCAGAGTCTCCAGACGTCGGGGCACGAGTGCCCAACGAACACGCTGGGGCAGATGGTCGAGAGGATAGTCGTCGGGCGCATCATTGAATGCCGGGAGAACACGCTCCGTGAGTGCTCCGTCGGCACCGCTGGGACCGGCAGTCCACCCTTTGGTGATGCAAAATTCCAGTTCTGGAACCACTGCCACTGCCCGCTGTCGTTCGAGACGCATGATGGCTGCCTCCACCCGAGGGTGAATCCAGACATCAAGCACCTCTCCCTCCAGTGGAGTTTCAGAGGACACAGAGCCGGTAGGAGCGTCCATGCCGAGGAGCAGGGAATAGGCCTCGCACGAGTATCCCGCCTGTTCGACCAAGGCCACTACCGTATCGAGTACGGAGGGCGTCTCGTCTGACCCAAGGACAACACGAGCCACCTTGGGTGAGGGTTCGAGGAGTCTACCCAGTTCTTCGAGGACAACTCCCAGTGCGGAAGCATCAAAGGAGAAGCCGAACTTCTTCTTCCAAAGGAGCCAAGTGAAAGCCAGAACCAGAACCGTGAAGACCAAACCGACGACAGCAGATGTCATGGGCGATTTTGATACTGGCACGAAGCCAGTCTCCTCCCACAGCGGGGTGACCACGCTGAGCGACATCTCGACCTTCTCCACAGCCGTCAACGAGGTCACAGGCGGGATCAGGATGAAATCCTTCACCCGGCTGAACCCGACCATCTCGGGCGCTTCGAAATAGCCGTTGCTGTCATTTGTCGGGGCCGTGAACATCCAGAGGTATCCAAAGGCAATCTTGGGAACGGACACTGTTGGAACATACACCGGAACCTTGTGCCTAGGCACGGCGTATGCGGCGAGATCAGTAAGATCCCCCACCAGCGTTTTCACAGACCAGGCCGTTGCACGGACGGTGCCGTGAAGCTGTCTCACGGATGGCACCATCCAGATCTCGCTCACCCAAGGCACTGGAATGAGCGAGCCCCAGAGGGCCAGTGAGATGTAGAGACCCAAAATTGGAATCACTAGCATCTCGACGAAACTGTACCCCGAGTCAGTCTCATAAAAAAACAGGCACATGAGAGGAAAACGAGAAAAGAGAGGGTCCTTTGGGAAATAACTCACAGAATTGATTCTTTCGAATCTTAAAAGAAGTTAAGAGAAGGTTTGTATTGGGACGAAGTTGAGCACAGGAAGCGTCAAGTTCGCGAGAGAGCACGAGTACGTTTGCGAAGGCAAGTTTCCTCGAAGGAGAGAAGAAGGAAGAAAGAAGAGAAAGAGAGGTAGGAAGGAGGGGGGTTTATAGATGTCTGTGGGAGATGCTATAGGCAAGCGAAGGCAGCATTCACTGGATGTGACGAGTCACCAAACAGAGCAAAACAAACAAAAAGTCAGTGAAGACCTGACTGTGAGGCAGAAGTGAGGTGAATGATAGCAGAAAGTGAGGCACACGACGGGTCCAGTATTTGATTGCAGGTCGGGTTGTATCAGACTTGTCAGAGTAGCATACGAATTTGCGGGAAACCCCGTCAGAAACGATCAAAAATACCTTCTGGTGGGAACATTCTGGACAGGAACACAGTCACTGGAAATCAATTCTCATTTCATATTCACTTTTATCAGGGGAAAACAATCAAATCATATGCAAACATGCCATAAACGCCGTGCCATGACCACATCCACGTAAACAATCGACAAAGTAACGGAGATCGAGCCACAGATTTTAGTCGACATCCATTGCTTCTTCCACACCACCGTCCACCAGCAACTTCGCCTTCTTCTTTTGGCGGAGCTTCTCCTCGCCCAGAACCTTCCCCGTGACCTTCTGCTTTTCCACCGGAAGGGGAACATTCTGCTCTTCCCTCTCCCGCAGCTCCTTGCGAATGAGATGCTCGCCTTCCGCGACGACCTTGCGGTCCTCTTCGCGCTTGCGCTCGCGGGCGAGTTTGCCGGCCAATCTTCTCTTCGTGAATACCCGCTCCCTCCGCTGACGGATCTCCTCCACTCTCTCCATAGCCTTGATAGTGGCAGCAACAAGGTTGCGGTCGTACTTGACGGGCACGTTCCTCCTCTTGGCGAACTGGGACAGCAGCAACGAGGAATCGACAATCATCTCCTTGCCGCGCAGAGCACGATGCGTCTTGGTCCACTTGAGCTTACGAGGCTGGCGCTTCATCTTGAAGTTCTTGTGGCATTTAGACCGGCAGAAACGGAATACCCGGGCATCATTGCGCACGAATGTGATGCCCTTGGACGGGTATACCGGTCGGGAGCAGAAATGGCACGTTTCGACCCTGTTGAAGAGGGTTAGATAGATCTATTCTTTCAACATCGGCAAGGAACAAAGCGTATAAATTAATTACCTCATGGCTTTGTCTATCTGCTCTGTGCAGAGCCAGACGATATGGGGTCAAAATGTAGAAAAAGGAAATTTTATACTGCTCTTGGGCTATGAATTGTCGTCGAAAAATCGTTCGGATAAACTTTGGCGGGTGGAGCGGCCGATTGGGGTGCCGCACTAGGCCCAAATAGGAACGGGATCGCCGCCCGACTCGACTTTTATCGCAACCGCTTCGCATCATCACGATTCCACTTTCCAGCGTGCAAGCGCCATCGCTTTGAAGCTGTTATTCATTCTTTGCGATCTTCCAGTTTACGGCCTGTGATCCGCTACAATATGGCTTCCTCTGCCATTCTCATGGGCCTGGGTGTGGCCACCGCCGCCTTCTTTGTGAGTAGAGTCGATTGGTGGAGAAGGGTGGAGGATTTCAGCTGACAGCTGCGTTGTAGGGGCGTGCTGGATGGGTTGCTTTCCAGCGCTACCGAGGAGGGGTGGATAAAATGGGACGGGCGTTCTACAAAGGGTGCGATAGCCAGCAGAGTGCTTGACTCTGTTTTGTTCTTTCACTGACGTCTTGCAGAGGGTTTGAACCGCGGATGACTCGTCGCGAGGCAGCTTTGATCCTCCAGCTCTCGTATGTGTTATCCAAGAGAGTCTTTTTTTTGTCCTGATTTCGTGCAGACGGCATAGCTAATTGAAGGCGCCTATCAGAGAGCGGTCCCTGACCAAGGAGAAGGTCCGCAAGAACCACCGTCAATTGATGCTCCTTAACCACCCGGACCGCGGTGGCAGTCCTTATCTGGCCACAAAGATCAACGAGGCGAAAGAGTTACTCGATAAGGTTGTCTGATGATTCTCTCTGGATGGAGGGAATATGTCACGCATGATGGCGGAGGATGGAACATAGACTCTCGTCGAGTCTGCCATCCTACATACAAGATCCTGATTTGGGTTGCATAGCAAGGCGTTTGGTTGAATTCTTGGGGGTATACTATCTATTTACTTATTTCTTGGCTGCGCCTCCTTTCACCAGAGCGATGGGAGTGCCTGTATTGATATATGTTCTCAGAGGTATCGCCACTCCTGATGTTTTCGAATATATACTGTACATATTTCCATGACTGTATTTTCTAATTTCGAGCCAAAGTCATATTGATAATCCCTCTACGTGGTTACGGATCCAATTTACTGATCAGGAGGGAAGTGAAGCGAGGGGAGGACGAAAAGAAGGCAGAAAGAAGGCCGTGGACCCCCTCCTACAGGGACAGCACCAGACTCACTGTCAACAAGAACCTGGGGCGCGTAGCCTAGTCAGTCAAGGCTGGTTGAGCCTTTGTATGCGTCTAATTAGTAATGCTGCAGGTTCAGTCAATCCCCCTTCCTCGAGGTGAAGTAGTGCGGTCATTACCGATATGTTGCTAATGCGATGGAGGCGTGAGGGGGGTTGCATAATAAACTTCTGTTCCTCCAA